ACTCCAGGGGAAAGAGATCAAGCATCGCGAGACGCGTTTCGTAGTCCACGGATTTGGGGCCGGCAACCATTCTCGTAGTGGCTCGCTGGACACGCTCAATGAGGGTGACGTCTTTCGTGCGTCCTGAGTAGACAACTTGGTTTGCGTACTTCAGGAGCGGTCTGACGTAGGCCCCATAGAGTAATTGGAAGTCCATGGGAGTAATACGGGAGAGGGTGCGTCGGATCACCCGTAAAATGGCGAATGCCTTTTGGGCCGATTTCTCATGGTGCAGTGAGGAAAAATAGTAAGCCCTCCATTGTTACCCCTGACCAGTCTTCTCACCTACAGGTTACGTAGCACAATACAATATCATATTTCAATTTCAGGGCAGGTGTCACATTGTCCAGGGGTTTCCCATCAAATTTCTGACTGAACCGCAATAAGCCTGGAGTATTAGATTCCAGCCAACACATTTACAATGCCCGCAAGCTCATGGGTTAACTTTTAGCTAAATAGGTTACAAAATTCCAACAATAGCCCCACCCTCAGTTGTTTCCATATACCATTTTCGAAGCTCCACGTTCTCGCGCCGTTAACTTGCAGCAAAAGTACATTTACTCAACGGTAGATTCAATTGAGATCTAGTTTTTATGGCATCTGCACCTACGCCCAGGCCTTTGCCCAATTTTTGTGGCATACGCCTGTCTCCGACCATAAGTCTGTTGGTGATCCAGAACTTCTAGATCATCAAAACCAGGCCCGAAATAATGCAGGCAGCTTGTTAGTATGCTTATTACTCGACGCTGAAGGCTGTCTTCTTACCCTAGGCCATGATAGCAGGACGCCTATGACACCTCGATACCAATGTTGGAAATCAGGTGATAAATGACTGGGGATAAATTGTCCCTGAAACCGCAGCTCAGCGAGTTACCACAAGTGTTCAGCAGCAGGGTAATTAACATAGCTTTTTAGTCGATGTTTCTCAGGTGTTTCACCAAATATTACTCACTGATTCTCCCAGCACGTACGCGATTCAGCTTAACCAGTCTCTGGACTTGGCCGGGGAAAGCCACGCGGCCTTCAAGATGAAACCCGGCCACCAACTGCCTATTGCTTTTTGAGTTCGCAACGGCGTTTGGGAGGAAGTTTGCCAGGCATGAAACGTTCGACGATCACTTTTATCAGTTTCGGGTTAAGATCCTTTCCAATTGTTACCCTCAAACTAAAACCCACTACACCGGTTCGAATTGCAACAACCGCACACAAATCTGCAGGCCGAAACTTCTCTTCTTCACCATGCAATAACATACCGCTAAAATTTCAACCTAAACTCCACAGAAGTTGTTTGAAAAATCCGTGTCGAGCTGTTGGGAGTAAGGTGATCTAGGATAGCTCTCTTTAGAATGCGTTCCATCAGCTTGCATGACACGCTACTGAGGCTAATACGCCTGTAGCTGTCAGGCGATTGTTAGTCACCAGTTTTGTACATTTGCGCGACAATCACTCCATTCCAAGCAGAGGGAAAGCGACCTTCGTCAAGCGACTGACAAAACACCAGGTAAAAACGATTTGCCAGTGTAAACGACGTTTCTTGCAGGATGCCGGGATGGACCTCGTTGGGCCCCAACACGCGAAATGGGCTGACCTTGTGTAAAAGTTGAGGAATGTCCTCCACCGTGAAGACAAAGTCGATTAGAGGCTGTTCGTCGTTACGCCTTGACAAGAGTGGATGAAAAGGGACCAGAAAATATCGTGAGGATAGATGCCAAAAACGATTCGGGCATCTGGGACTCCTCAAAACTTAGCCTTCTCACTGCACCATGAGAAATCGGCCCAAAAGGCATTCGCCATTTTACGGGTGATCCGACGCACCCTCTCCCGTATTACTCCCATGGACTTCCAATTACTCTATGGGGCCTACGTCAGACCGCTCCTGAAGTACGCAAACCAAGTTGTCTACTCAGGACGCACGAAAGACGTCACCCTCATTGAGCGTGTCCAGCGAGCCACTACGAGAATGGTTGCCGGCCCCAAATCCGTGGACTACGAAACGCGTCTCGCGATGCTTGATCTCTTTCCCCTGGAGTACCGTCGCCTCCGAGGGGACCTAATTCTTATTTATGCCCTTTTTGAACAAAGCTTGGCAAACAGGTTTTTCACCGTTGACCCAGCAAACGCAAGACAGGGACGTAGTAGGAAAATTTTCAAGCTCAGAGCACACACGTTCATTAGACAAAATGTTTTCTCATTTCGGGTAGTAGCTGCGTGGAATGACCTTCATCCGACTGTTGTCCACGCTCCTTCTAGAACCCAGTTTAAAGCACTATTGGACATTTATTTATGCGAACCTCCGCGCTGGCGAGCATACTGCCCCGCGCTGAGAACATAAAGAGCAGCGCTACACCCTTTGCACTTGTGCCTTTCAGGTGAACGACAGCCACTAACCGGCAAGAACAAAAGCGATTCAGGAAACTTGGGCAATAGCCTCGCTCCTGTGTATCAGTCCGTGAAGATGTTTTTCCATTCTTCCGGGCGCGTTGTTGGCAGTCACTTGGCCAGCGAAAAGTATACTGGTATGTGTAAGCGAGGTCCCAGAGCTTCTGACCGTTGCGTCAAAATGATAGGGGTGCCTGGACTTATGGACGGAGATCTTACATTGTGATTGGAGTAAAGTATTGGTAGAACTCTTCTCAAACATCCTAAGTATCATGTAGTGTAGATGTAAAACCGAGGCTTCTAAGGTCATCCGATGGAAAATGCCTAAGATTAAGTGGGATAGCCAAAATTTGCACGGATAGAAACGCTTTCATATGTTTACTGAATTGTTCTTATCCTGCTCATTACGCGGGCCGAATATGGAACTTGCACTTCTAAAGATAACCACGAAATTTTTGGTTCTTATGAGATGTGGCTTGGGATTGGTGATCGAGATTCGAAAAACTGTTTGCATGAACGCGTGCTGTTATAATGTACCTTCATCTCGGAAAAGAATGAGTCTCTGTAGGCCAGGTCAACCCATGTAACCCCCCGCGAACAATCTTATCGTGCCTCCAAGTTTAAAGCTAATAAAGACAAATATGAGCTGTTTGTGAACAAAATGATATATGCTATCTAGGAAGTTTTGATGCACTCCACACCGACTCGTTTTGACGCATAACTACTCTCTACTCACTGATGGTGGCACATTGAAAGACTTTAAAAAGCTTGCAAAAATATTATCTGGTTAGTCGGACAGAACAGTGATCAAGGCGATGAGATATTGAGTGGTTGTTGTATACGTGAACGCTGTTTATAAAGGGTGATTGCAACGTCCACTGTGCAAGGCCTTTATGGGGAACGACTGCCGCACTGTTCGACTGCGGCCGTTTACGGGTGGCCGATCTGCGGGAAGGTCATCGCGTCCAGAGTGAGAGGTTTATTAGCGCTGGAGAAACTAGATGTAGCGGCCGTACAGCCACTTGGCATTCATTGTCTGTGTCTACGAAGCAGGACTATCGTGATTTCAGCTTCTACCATCGTGCTCATCCTGGATAAGGGGACAATTAGACATCTGGATAGGAGGCTGATTCACAAGCATGGCGAAATAGTGGTGGTTCGCGAAAAGCCAGCAAATGGCCCAAGTTTATACAGGCTAAGATGCCGCACATAAAACAAACCCTGAACTGCGAGCCAAGACACTCGGACTGTCAGAAAACTCTCTATAGAACAGTTAAGTGCGAAGCACTTTGTGCATGCTGTGGCGCCATACAGTGTTGCTTTATGGGTTGTTAATTTTCAAAACCCGTCAACACTCGAGAAGATCCAACCTACTCGCGACGGTCAGCCGGGGAATCTGCCGACTGTTATGAAACTTTTCCGGAAACTCTAGAATGGTTCATGCGCCTTTCTGCATGGACGTTTGCTTAACTCTAGAATTGTCAGGCTGTTGACAGCGTCAACCGTATTTGGATGACTCGCATTTACAAAGTATAAGTAGCCGGGTAGCAGGCTTGATTAAGCGCTGCATAATCCCCCGCACTTCGTAGTGTGTAAAAGCCGGTAGATTTTCATAAGGCGGCCTCGTGCTGGTACAAAGCTGGCAGGCGTGGGAATGTGCGTGCCTACACGTTTAAACACCCTGAAATTTGTGTTCTCTGACAGATTAACTCCACACACCTGCCATTAGAGTGTTAACTGCCGAGCCGGCAACCATTCTCGTAGTGGCTCGCTGGACACGCTCAATGAGGGTGACGTCTTTCGTGCGTCCTGAGTAGACAACTTGGTTTGCGTACTTCAGGAGCGGTCTGACGTAGGCCCCATAGAGTAATTGGAAGTCCATGGGAGTAATACGGGAGAGGGTGCGTCGGATCACCCGTAAAATGGCGAATGCCTTTTGGGCCGATTTCTCATGGTGCAGTGAGGAAAAATAGTAAGCCCTCCATTGTTACCCCTGACCAGTCTTCTCACCTACAGGTTACGTAGCACAATACAATATCATATTTCAATTTCAGGGCAGGTGTCACATTGTCCAGGGGTTTCCCATCAAATTTCTGACTGAACCGCAATAAGCCTGGAGTATTAGATTCCAGCCAACACATTTACAATGCCCGCAAGCTCATGGGTTAACTTTTAGCTAAATAGGTTACAAAATTCCAACAATAGCCCCACCCTCAGTTGTTTCCATATACCATTTTCGAAGCTCCACGTTCTCGCGCCGTTAACTTGCAGCAAAAGTACATTTACTCAACGGTAGATTCAATTGAGATCTAGTTTTTATGGCATCTGCACCTACGCCCAGGCCTTTGCCCAATTTTTGTGGCATACGCCTGTCTCCGACCATAAGTCTGTTGGTGACCCAGAACTTCTAGATCATCAAAACCAGGCCCGAAATAATGCAGGCAGCTTGTTAGTATGCTTATTACTCGACGCTGAAGGCTGTCTTCTTACCCTAGGCCATGATAGCAGGACGCCTATGACACCTCGATACCAATGTTGGAAATCAGGTGATAAATGACTGGGGATAAATTGTCCCTGAAACCGCAGCTCAGCGAGTTACCACAAGTGTTCAGCAGCAGGGTAATTAACATAGCTTTTTAGTCGATGTTTCTCAGGTGTTTCACCAAATATTACTCACTGATTCTCCCAGCACGTACGCGATTCAGCTTAACCAGTCTCTGGACTTGGCCGGGGAAAGCCACGCGGCCTTCAAGATGAAACCCGGCCACCAACTGCCTATTGCTTTTTGAGTTCGCAACGGCGTTTGGGAGGAAGTTTGCCAGGCATGAAACGTTCGACGATCACTTTTATCAGTTTCGGGTTAAGATCCTTTCCAATTGTTACCCTCAAACTAAAACCCACTACACCGGTTCGAATTGCAACAACCGCACACAAATCTGCAGGCCGAAACTTCTCTTCTTCACCATGCAATAACATACCGCTAAAATTTCAACCTAAACTCCACAGAAGTTGTTTGAAAAATCCGTGTCGAGCTGTTGGGAGTAAGGTGATCTAGGATAGCTCTCTTTAGAATGCGTTCCATCAGCTTGCATGACACGCTACTGAGGCTAATACGCCTGTAGCTGTCAGGCGATTGTTAGTCACCAGTTTTGTACATTTGCGCGACAATCACTCCATTCCAAGCAGAGGGAAAGCGACCTTCGTCAAGCGACTGACAAAACACCAGGTAAAAACGATTTGCCAGTGTAAACGACGTTTCTTGCAGGATGCCGGGATGGACCTCGTTGGGCCCCAACACGCGAAATGGGCTGACCTTGTGTAAAAGTTGAGGAATGTCCTCCACCGTGAAGACAAAGTCGATTAGAGGCTGTTCGTCGTTACGCCTTGACAAGAGTGGATGAAAAGGGACCAGAAAATATCGTGAGGATAGATGCCAAAAACGATTCGGGCATCTGGGACTCCTCAAAACTTAGCCTTCTCACTGCACCATGAGAAATCGGCCCAAAAGGCATTCGCCATTTTACGGGTGATCCGACGCACCCTCTCCCGTATTACTCCCATGGACTTCCAATTACTCTATGGGGCCTACGTCAGACCGCTCCTGAAGTACGCAAACCAAGTTGTCTACTCAGGACGCACGAAAGACGTCACCCTCATTGAGCGTGTCCAGCGAGCCACTACGAGAATGGTTGCCGGCCCCAAATCCGTGGACTACGAAACGCGTCTCGCGATGCTTGATCTCTTTCCCCTGGAGTACCGTCGCCTCCGAGGGGACCTAATTCTTATTTATGCCCTTTTTGAACAAAGCTTGGCAAACAGGTTTTTCACCGTTGACCCAGCAAACGCAAGACAGGGACGTAGTAGGAAAATTTTCAAGCTCAGAGCACACACGTTCATTAGACAAAATGTTTTCTCATTTCGGGTAGTAGCTGCGTGGAATGACCTTCATCCGACTGTTGTCCACGCTCCTTCTAGAACCCAGTTTAAA